CCAGTATCGGTATCGGTGCATCCCTATAAAATATTGTAATTAAACTTAGTGGACATTGTTGTTTTGGAAGCAGACACACTATACAAAACAAAGACTTGTTGTTAATGGTTATTTTCACACTGAAATCAAGAGTGCTGTCTAATTTCATAACGGGGGCTAATAATTTTGGCCTCAACTGTAGCTGGTCTAACTGATCTCAGAACAGTAGGCACCGTACCTTCCATCAGTTCAGTCACAGAGTGGCAGTTTATCCACAACGAGCATGCACAAACAGAAACAAGCTGCTGGCCCCTCAGCTTGCTCATCTCCAGTCTTTGTTAACATGAGACGAAAATGCCTTCAGACTGAGATAAATACACTTTGCCATGAGATGAAACAAGCACAGCTTTCTTCAGCCACGAGATGCCTGTAATGTAAAGGCTGGATGCACATATTATTTGACAGGTGAGTAGCTTCACGACAGAGCTGTCTGACATGAAAGCCTTGCTTTACTTTGGTACATTTTAATTTAAGTCTATTTTCAGATGTGAAAACGCTTCAGGTCACCAAGACTTTTACAGTCTAACATCAAAACCATGATGCTGGTACTGTAGATGAGCTTTTTATTCAATAACTCATATTCAACCACAGTGAATAAAAAAAGGTTCTGTGTAACGCACGGCTCTTAGACAAACGTTTGCAAGAGCATCTTTTCCAAGTGTGGTACTGATGACACTGTCTCATGCATTCTTACACTACTATATGCTGCACTATTGCTGGGTGTGCTCCACTCTGGACTGGCTGAGTGAATGTGACTACAGTAAAGCGACTTTGTTGGCAGGTTCAAGCACATGTGTGCACTGTGGTCCCATAGAGCACTGAGCCATGGGTCCCATGCACCTACCTTAAACATCTCATGATATGTTGCGTGGACCAGGCAGGTTAGGACCCAACTACAGGACTCTCAGGCTGGACTGAACTTAACAACAGCTTTATTGCTGGAGAAAATACAAATAACTAAATACAAGGAACTTAACTGTCAGGAACTCAAACACTCAAGATTGTGTGAAAAAGAAAGACAGAAAGAAAGTAAATAGCAAAGATATGTTGAATAGAAAGGTGTTAATGAAATGTCACAAAACAATGTCATTAAAATATCATTATGAATTTACAGTTTTTTATTTATATAGGCGCAAATTAAACCCAATTTGTGCCTGTGTGTGTGTGTGTGTGTGTGTGTGTGTGTGTGTCAGAAAAAGTGTTAAGCATAGATAAAAGTGCTGCAAAATGAGACTTTTAGAAAGCTTTAGTGTTCGACATGAGTAGAGGTTTGCTACAGTATGTTGTCAGCAGTATTCATTCATCTGTCTGCACATGAATATAAACTTGAGTCTTAATCCACAGGATATTTAATATGATGCTAGTGCGCCCTTACCATCTATACCAGCTTTACTAATATTTTATTTTTTTATTAAGATTTATATGTTGTGTTTTTTTGTTGTTTGTTTTTTTTAACGATGGACGTAAAGTGTGTCAGTAAAGAGTAATTGATTGAATTGAATTATGTGCTGCTGAACACGTGGGCTAAATGTTGTTTTGAAACGCTTCCGTCTCATTATTACCAAGCCAAATAAAAAACCTGCACTTATAAGCGAACAGCTGCATTTAAGCGGAACTTTGCTTATACCTGTCACATCCACGGAACTATTAACAGGGACGGACTTCCGCTTTGATTGCGTAAACGCATTGGCAGTATGCGTAGATAAATTAGAATATATCGACTTGGATAGTGTTTTCTAGGATAGTGTTTTCTAGGCTGGTGTTTTCTAGAATTTAATGACGGCTAATGGGTACATATATGTGTAATAAAAACTACTAATTGTTCCAACGATAGATATGTGTAATTCACACAGAGTCGCACAAACAGGAAGTAAAAGGAACAAGCCAATCAGCTCCACGGAGCATGTGTCACGCGTGATGCAGCGTCTCTGGTGAAGGTTACGGTTAGTTGAACGTGTGCACTGTTACCTGTTACCTGAAGCAGAGGCTACAGACAGACTGGAAACGACGCTGTGCGCAGTTGCGGTAAGAATTAATTTCACTGTCATGAAGCTGTTCGTCACATCAGCTCACAGACACGACCTGCTTCCTCGTGTTCAAACATTACAGAACCGTGTTAACACATCATCCTGTGACTGCAGCAGCAGAAACCCTAGTTCTCATATTTACCTGCTGTTCAAGGTAAGGTATATTTACTTGCTGGACCCA